ACTGAAAGGTCAAAGGTGACCCAGAGGGAGAAAAGCTTTCAACCTGTGTCCCCCAGAATGAGCCGGCAGGTGGTCCGCTCCAGCAAGTTCCGCCATGTGTTCGGACAGCCAGCCAAGGCCGACCAGTGCTATGAGGATGTACGCGTCTCACAGACCACCTGGGACAGTGGCTTCTGTGCTGTGAACCCCAAGTTCGTGGCCCTGATTTGTGAGGCCAGCGGGGGCGGGGCCTTCCTGGTGCTACCCCTGGGCAAGGTGAGCCCCTGGAGCCCTAGGGTAGCAGCTGTCCTCCTGAGGAAGTGACAGTCACCAACCCTTGTGGGTCTTTGTGCTATCATTTGTACAACTGAGTGGAGACATGTGTCTAAGCTCCCTCCAGCTCCTAGGGGCAGTGGTTGTGTGGAAGCTGAGGCCCAGAGTGAACAAGATGAAGGGGGGCACACAGAGACCTGCAGGCAGGACCAGGGCTCCCATGTCTCAGAAGCATAGAAGCCTTTTTGCCCTTAGAAGCACAGAAGGCTGGAAGGGGGTCAGGGTAGGCCCAGCAGTGTTCTCAGGGTAGGGACTCAGGGTCAGGGCCTGTCCAGAATGAGTCCTTGGGGACAGGTGATGCAAAGGCCTTTCCTGGCCTCTTGGCCTACTGCCTGTGCCTATGCATGCCGCTGACCTCCACCTCTAGTACACTCCAGTGCTCTTTGGGGCTGAGACAGGAAGGGGAGATGGGTCCCAAGTTGTTACCTTAAAAGGGCCGATGGAAGTACAGAGAAGAGGAAGTGGTTGTTGGGGTGAGAGCTGAGCCTGCACCCCGTACAGCTCTCCATACAGGAAGCCTTACTGAAGCAGCTAGCCCCGGAAGAGGGCATTTCCAAACCTCTGCTGCTGCCTGGGGCCAATACATCAGACCTCCAGGCCCCCTCTCCATTTGTCAGGAAATATCCCTGCAGCCTCCCATTCTCACCTACTTCTCTGGGGAGCCCCAACCCCATGCCTATGTCAGGTCCATGGCAGCCTCACTCTGGGAAACTGAGTGGTGGGTAAGAATGCTAGTCCTCAGAACCCAAGTGAGAATAAGATAGAGACAGATAGGACCCTGGCCAGGGTCACTCATGGCTCAGCGCATAGTTACCAGCCCGCCTGGGACTGGGGCAAAGAGAAGACCAAACCCTCCCCACCTCGGGCTCACCTCCCCAGGACCCCACAACTTCCTCTCTGTCCCTTTGCAGGGGGTGGGGAGGTTGGATTGGATTTAGAGGGCAAGTGTCCCCCTGTCAAATGCCCTGCTGTGTTCTCCAGACTGGAAGAGTAGACAAGAACGTGCCCCTGGTCTGTGGCCACACAGCCCCCGTGCTGGACATTGCCTGGTGTCCACACAATGACAACGTCATTGCCAGTGGCTCTGAGGACTGCACGGTCATGGTGAGTGCTGGTGGAGTTCGGACTAGGAGGGAGATACAAGAAGGACCTGACATTTGTAACCTCAAAAACTCACTCACCTCTTCTCTGCAGGTATGGGAGATCCCTGATGGGGGCTTGACACTGCCCCTGAGGGAGCCCGTTGTCACCCTGGAGGGCCACACCAAGCGGGTGGGCATCGTGGCCTGGCACCCCACTGCCCAGAATGTGCTGCTCAGTGCAGGTGCCACGGGAGAGGGCAGTGTGCTGGGGGCTGGCAGAGGGCAGGAGATTTGTGGCTTCTGACTCTGGGGTGATTGTACAGGTTGTGACAATGTGATCCTGGTGTGGGATGTGGGCACTGGGGTGGCCGTGCTGACGCTGGGCCCGGATGTGCACCCGGACACCATCTACAGTGTGGACTGGAGCAGGGACGGCGCCCTCATCTGCACCTCCTGCCGCGACAAGCGTGTGCGCATCATTGAGCCCCGCAAAGGCACTGTTGTAGCTGTGAGTTGCTGTGACCCCTGACCCTTGACCTTAGGACCATAATCCCCCCTACCCACCACCCACCAGCCCTTGGGTGATGCCCTCACTTGACCCATCTGGGGTCTGGTTCCTAAGGAAGGTGTGTGAGTACTGGACTTAACACCTCCCTTTCGTTGCAGGAAAAGGACCGGCCCCACGAGGGGACCCGACCAGTGCACGCTGTGTTTGTTTCGGAAGGAAAGATCCTGACCACAGGCTTCAGCCGTATGAGTGAGCGGCAGGTGGCGCTGTGGGACACAGTGAGTGCTAAGCCAGGAAACAGGGCTTTGGGCTGGGAATCAAGACTGGCGGCATCCTCCCTGCCCTGACACTTGTGGGGCCAGACGGCTCTGAGCCTGTTTACTCATCTGTGATATGGGAGTTCTCCATTGCGTGGTCTGGGGATGCCACGCCGAGTCACTGCCCAGAATCACCATCCCAGGGCCTGACATGGTCCAGTCCGTTGCTACCTTCCACCTGTCTCTACAGAAGCACCTGGAGGAGCCACTGTCCCTGCAGGAACTGGACACAAGCAGCGGAGTCCTGTTGCCCTTCTTTGACCCTGACACCAACATTGTCTACCTCTGTGGCAAGGTGGCTCAGTCGGGCAGGGCTGGGGGCAGAGAGGTGAGCTTGGAAAGGACCAGGCTTGAGAGCCACTGTTGGTGCTGACCCTGCCTTGGGTACCCTGCCTGCAGGGGGACAGCTCTATCCGGTACTTCGAGATCACATCCGAGGCCCCGTTCCTGCACTATCTCTCTATGTTCAGTTCCAAGGAGTCGCAGCGTGGCATGGGCTACATGCCCAAACGTGGCCTGGAGGTGAACAAGTGCGAGATTGCCAGGTGACTGACCCCCCGACCCTGACTGGAGCTGTGGGGCCAGTGCCCTCTGTCCCCACCCACCATCCTGTGTGCACTGCTCACCTTCCTGTTTCCACAGGTTCTACAAGCTGCATGAGCGGAAGTGTGAGCCTATTGCCATGACAGTGCCTAGAAAGGTGGTGTCCCCAAGCTCCGTGGCGCCATGGGTACTTGGGGGCTTGGAGGGCAGGGTGGTGGCATAAGCACTCTTGTGACCAGTCTTGGCCTTGCCCACAGTCGGACCTGTTCCAAGAGGACCTGTACCCGCCCACTGCTGGGCCTGACCCTGCCCTCACGGCTGAGGAGTGGCTGGGGGGTCGAGATGCTGGGCCTCTCCTCATTTCCCTCAAGGATGGCTATGTACCCCCCAAAAGCCGAGAGTTGCGAGTCAACCGGGGCCTGGACAGCACACGCAGCAGGAAGGCAGCACCAGAGGCTAGTGGCACTCCTAGCTCGGTGAGCCAGGGAGCCAGGATGGGAAGATGGGGTTGGGAGAGAGCTGTATGGATGCCCAGGCTCACAATATTGGGGACCCTTGGAGAGCTAGGGTAGAAGAACCTGAGGTCTTAGAAAACAGGATGCAGGCCTAAAGGGCTGCAGCTCCAGGCAGCAACTGCTAAAAAGAAGGGCCCAACCCCTGGGGCTCTTGGGAGGGGGTTGGTAGGTGCCAGGGTAAGGGGAATTGGATGGCTGGTGGTGTGGCTCAAGCAGGCGCAAAGCCCTGATTTCAAAAACCAGTGCCATATAAAAAAAGAAAAATAAAAAAGGTTGGGCCTGACTCACTGCTGGTTCCCCAGGATGCTGTGTCCCGGCTGGAGGAGGAGATGGGGAAGCTACAGGCCACAGTGCAGGAGCTACAGAAGCGTTTGGACAGGCTGGAGGAGACAATCCAGGTCAAGTAGAGCCCAGGGTCTAGAGTGGGTTCACACCCCTCCATTCGCACTCACTCTCCAGACCATCAATGGCAGATAAGAAAAAAAAAATAATAAAATGCTTTATTTTCTGGTACCTCTCAGAGTCTAATGAGTGCTCATCTAGGAGTTGGGTCTGTTGAAATGCCCAGCCCAGAGCTTCCCCTCCGTAGTCTTGATGGAACTATCCCCATCAGATGGGGGTTGCCTCCAAATACACTGCATCACAGGAGCAGCCTAAGTCTCACCCTTTCGCTGAGAACATTCCCCTGCATAGTGCAGCTGCCTCATGGCCCTTCCTGTGGGTTCTGCCTGGCCCTGGCTTCTGTGAGTGGAACTTGGCAGAAACAAGTCTCCCAGGTCCTACCAAGAGGGGCCTGGTGGGTATCACTGCCCACTTGATGGGAGACCGCCCCCCCAGGCTGGGTCAACACAGGGCTGTTTGGGTGGGTGTCTTGGCACCCAGGGTTTGGTTCATGCCATGCAAGCCACACCAAGGAATTCATATAAGGCTGGTCCTCTACAGCACGCCCACAGAAGATGGCAGGAGGATCACAGAGCTCATGAGTTGGAAACCAGTTTGTAAAACACACACCAGGTCATAAAACAAAAACAAAACAAAAAGCCACTGGAGAACAGGGTGGACAGGAGGGCTGAAATGTCTCATTTCTCAGTCTCAAACAACCCTGGTCCAAGTGAATCACTAGATTTCCCTCCTGGGTCTAAGGAACCTCCGTGTAACATTCCAAAAACCTATCAACACGTGAATTAAACAGATACAGAAGAATCACCTGTGCTATTTTGAGCTCAGGTCAGTCTAACTTTCCTGCTCTAATCCTGTGACTGTGAGCTGTTCACACCTCCCATATCTGAGAAACTCATCGTCCCCTCAAGGGCAGCTGTGGCCACATCAAGTCCAATGCTATGGAGCGTTGTGATCCACGGGGTCTCTCCAAAAAAAAAAAAAAAAAGCCAGAACGTGTCAGCATTCCAAGTGTGGAGGAGCCCCTGGCCTGGGAAGGACAGGGGGAATCTGCAGGGGGACTCTGTATTGTGCCTCTGATAGCAAGTAAGGGTGGGATGGGGGAGAGTTTTGTCCAGCTGGTCAGTGGTTGAAATCCTTATAACATTCTCATCTCTGCATTTTATTTATTTATTTTTTTTTTTTACAGTACTGGGGTTTGAACTCAGAGTCTACACTAGAGTCACGCCAGCAACCCTTTTTTTGTGGTGGGTTTTTTCACGATAAGGTCTCACAAACTATTTGCCTGAGTTATTTTCAAACTGCCTGGATCTTCCCCATCTCTGCTCCTAAATAGCTAGGATTACAGTCATAAGCCACCTGCTGGGTTCATTTCTGCATCTTGAAGGCTAGCATAGAGCAGGAACCACCTGCTCTCTGAGGGTTGGGTGATTAGTGGCAGGACAGACCCCTAGAGTTCTATACAGAAGGCCTGCAAAGAAGGCCCTAGAAAGGACTTTTAAAGACCTAGGGGCCCAGATTGGGATAGCAATTTGCCCATGGTAAAACACAGGCAGAAGCTAAAGCCTAGACTCAATCTCAGGGCAGTCTCAGCACCCCTCCCCAACACAACACAGACACAGAAGTGACTTGGTTTATAATTTAATGGCTGCGCAGATCGGGGTCCCTCATTTCCGACGCTCCCGGGTCCACTGCTCTGGGGTCAGGGTTTTCTGCTCAAAGGCATGGATGTGTGGGAGCTCTTCTGCCAGACACTCATTCACCAGCCTGGTGGGTGGGGAAGAGACGCGATTGGGAAATGACAGGCCTAGGTTTGGAGGTCGACCCCAAAGTTAGAATGACCAAGGAGATGGGAGGTGTCCCCCAAGTCTTGGTCTCCACAATGTGGAATACGAGAAGACGGGAAATCGAAATGCTCCCAGCAGGGACCACAAAGGTGTGATCTTTGGGGTCATGGGCCACTCTGCAGGGCTGATAGCCTTGGGGAGTTGGCCAGGGCTGTGCTCCTGAGCCTGGGGCCAGGCTGGGCGAGGTGTCCCAGGGACTCACCGGTGTCTCTGAAGCAGTGGTTTCCCTTCAAACTTAGCTGACACCACCAGGACTCGGAAACTGGTCGCGCAACGGTTGAGAGTCGTGTCCTCCACCTCCTACCGGACAGAAGAATTGGGACGATGCGGGACCCCTCATCAGGAGCCCTTTTCCCTTCGTCCCGAGGGTCCCGGCAGCTCAACTCACCACGTGCTCCGCCTCCAGATCCCGCTGCAGCTTCTGGCGGAGGTAGTCGGCGCTGAGTTCCATAGCTGCAACCCAGGGAGGGCGGCAGCTCAGACTAGAGGTCCCCACCTGGGTCCCGCCACTCTGCCTTCCGCCCTTACTGAAGCCACTTCCGCTACGGTACCCACTTCCGCCCTTACTAGGGCGTAGGAAAACGCGGCACTTCCGCTCTCTTGCGAGCTATGCGTTCCAACAGTCAAAGATTGCGGCGCCTACCACGAGTTAGCCAATCAGAATTGGCCTGATGACAGCCTCTGCCTGGGCGGGCGCTAATTGGTTGGCGCTGGGAGCCCGCACTGTAGCCGGGGTCTCTGGGACGAGTGTAGGCACCTCCCTCCAGCCAGGAGAGGGTGCACGAACCTGCATTTACTGGGGCCTCCTGGGTGCCTCGCGGTCGCCCCCAAGCGCTTTTTCTAAAATAAGCATCTTGCAGCCATAACTACCCAGCCCCGCGGAGTTCGAGGTCACAGAAATCAACCCCAAGCTTCAGCCTCTGACCCACTAAGCCCCGATGGGCCCCGCGAGGGGCACGGCGAAGCCCAGGCGCTTCTTCGGTGTCTACCTGCTCTACTGCCAGAACCCTCGGCATCGGGGCCGCGTCTACGTGGGGTTCACGGTCAATCCTGCTCGTCGAGTCCGGCAACACAACGGCGGTCGCAAAAAAGGCGGGGCCTGGCGGACCAGCGGAAGAGGACCCTGGTAAGCATGGAGGAAAGCTTGAGGGAGGAGGCGGGCCCCGGGGATCAGAAGTACGGATGAAAGGTGCGGGACGAGGCTTTTGTCAGTGTGCCTGTCTAGCCTTAGGGCGGGGCCTGTCACTGGGGCAGGGAGGCAGAGCTCTGCAGATCTCGGGACTGGGCGATGTTTAAGAGGGTTTTGATGATCAAAGACTGGGGTTGGGCGCTGCAGCATTGCTCAAATGGTAGAGTGATTGCCTGTCGTGTTCAAGGTCCTGGGCTTAATCCCCAGAGTGGGATTAAGTTATTACGGTACTATTCACAGTAGTCAAACTATGGAATCAGCCTAGATGCCCATAAGCAGATGAATAGATGAAGATAATACACATGGAGTTTTATTCTACCAGAAAGAAGGTTGAAATTATGGCCTTTTCAGGAAAATACATGGAACTGGAGATCATCATGTTAAGCGGGAAAAAAAAGCCCGGTTCAGAAAGAGAAATATTACGTGTTTTCTCTTATATGTGGAGAATCTGGATTAGGGAAGGAAGGAAGAGGCAAGGCATTGTGGGACATATCTGTAATCTCAGCACTCGGGAGGCTATGGCAGAAGGATCGTGAGTTCAGTATCAGTCTGAGCTATGAGAACCTGCAAGAAGAAGAAGAAAGCAGAAGAAGAAGGAGAAGAAGAAGGAGGAGGAGGAGGAGGAGAAAGTGGGGGTGGAAAGAGGAAGGGGACAAATGGGAGGAGGTAGGGGGATAATAAAGGGTAATAGGGGTGGATATGATCAAACTATATACAAGTGTGAAAATGGCATACGGAACCACAATTAATATACACTATTTTAAAGAGACAAGACTAAGGTTGGACAACAGTCTGTGAGCAAGCCTAGATGAGATTAGAGCCTAGACGGGAGAGGAACTGAGGGCAATTAAGTACCTGAGAAGGAAGCGGGGCCTGAGGTCTACAAGTGGGAGCGGTCACAACTGCACGAAGTGGGTGGGATCTCATGGCTAGTCTTTCAGGCCTGTTGGGGACTGAGGTGGAACCAAGGCTATGGGATTCGGCTTCTGGTGGGATGGGGGGGTGCTATGGGGGCTCACAGGCCCCGCCCTCTTTCTCCTCTCCAGGGAGATGGTGCTTATCGTGCATGGCTTCCCATCTGCTGTGGCTGCCCTTCGGGTAAGAAAGGTGACAGGGTGGAGGAGGGGCAGGCGGGACTGGGGCTCGAGGCCTGGCCTGGGTGGCCGCCTGTTCCAGACCACCCTGACGAAGCGGTGCTCCCCGCGCGCAGTTCGAATGGGCCTGGCAGCACCCGCAAGCATCGCGCCGCCTGGCTCACGTGGGGCCGCGCCTGCGCAGCGAGGCCGCCTTCGCCTTCCACCTGCGCGTGCTGGCGCACATGCTGCGCGCGCCGCCCTGGGCGCGCCTCCCGCTCACACTGCGCTGGCTGCGCCAGGACTTCCGCCAGGATCTGTGTCCCCCGCCACCGCCCCACGTGCCGCTGGCCTTCGGGCCGCTGCCGCCCCGGACCTGCGCTCTAAAGTGCCGCACTGGACCTGTGGCTGACAGCGACTCAGGACCCGACCTGGGTGCTGGGGACAGCTGCACCCTATGCGCACGCGCGCTCCAGGTGAGCTCTAAGTAGGAGCAGGTCTATGCCTAAGATGCACTGACAAACTGCCTACTCAGCTTCCACTTGAAAATGGTGACAATAGAACCTTCGGCCGTTGCTGGACTCTAGAGTACCTGTTCAGGGCCTTTGACTAGCTCTTCAGAGCTGGCTGGCCTCCATCTGCAATCACAGCTCTACCTTGTGCACTCCCTTTTCTTCTTCCCCTTTACACTTACTCATATACTCATATACTAGGTATTATTTGTAATCAGCCTCCACTCTTCCCATCAAACTCCAGAGAGCAGCCTTGTTCACTTCTGTGGAACAGGGTCCAGTACAGAGCAGGTGGTCAGTAAATACAGAATAAATTAACAGATGATGGGCTGGCTCCTGCTGAGTTCTCAGTAAATGGAAGTTTCTCCCCATCTTCCTTTCCTGCCCACCACCTCTGACAGGATGAAGAGGGACCCCTGTGTTGCCCCCACCCTGACTGTCCCCTAAGGGCCCACATGACTTGCCTGGCAGAGGAGTTCCTTCGGGAAGAACCAGGGCAGCTTCTGCCCCTAGAGGGCCAGTGCCCTAGGTGAGTCCAGTCCCTCTCCCCCAGCCTGGAGTAGCTCTGGGGAGAAGTGCCCAGTGGTCCAGTGCGGGCCAGCTGAGTCCTCATCCAGGCACCCAGGCCTAGGCTGGAGAGTGCTGGAGATGCCTGACTCTGCCATCTCCTGCCACCTGCACCTCTTGGTAGCTGTAAGAACACACTGCTTTGGGGAGACCTGATCTGGCTATGCAGCATGGGCCCTGAGGAAGAAGAGGAAGACTCAGAATTAGAAGAGGTGAGTGGACTAGGGAGTGGCTCAAACAGTAAGAATGCCTGCCTAGCAAGTGAGAGGCATTGAGTTCAAACCCCAATGCCACCAAATAACCCAAAAAACCAAACCAAACCAAAAAAAAAAACCTTATTTTAAAGGGCTGGTGGAGTGGCTCAGTTTGGCTCCAGCCTGTCTGCTTCCTTCTTTCCCTAAGCTTCCTTTCACCAACTTCTTGTTTTCACAGGACCACTGGACAGACATGCTGGAGATCTGATCCTCAGTGTCCCAACCCTGCCACCTACTTCCTTTTTGTCTCTCTCCCCTGTGGTCTGGGCAGTTTTTACTTGACTAGAATAAAAAGTCTGACTTTTGGGTACTTTCTGGTGTTTTTGTGGAGACCTGGTTGAGGGGAGTAAAAGTAGGAGAAAGGGCTGCTCGCCCAGCCATGTGACTCACCTCTCCCTTGCCTGAAGATCCCTCCACCTCAGTTTCCCCAGTTTTCCTCTGCTTAGAAAATTCTTTAGAGGCTTATGAGAATCACACCCATGAATCAGAGCCTCTGCACCTTCAGTGGCCAGCGTGACTTCAGATCTTAATCCAAACATTAAATCAAAGGCCATGGAGGAGGAGGGGTGCCCTCCCTCCACTGACCCCATGCCTCTTCCTGTTTGTCTGCAGAGCCCTCAGGAAGAAAAGCACCTTCTGAGAGCTGCTGAGGTGGCACAGGTGCTTGAGGCAGAGGCTCCTTTCCAGGCTTTTAGTCTCTAGTGTCTTTGTTCTTTCCCATGTGCAGCTGCCTCAAAAAGAGTCTTCTCAGCTTTGCCCCCGCCCTGTGTCCCTTCACTTTTTTCACTCCCATCACTCTGGACTGCCTTGACGTCAGAGCAGGCAGTTCTCAGAAAGCCTGTGACTGCCAGGGTCTGAACCCTTGGTATCCTCAAGACAGACCTGGAGCCAGCAGGAAGGTGATTGGCCTTGGCAAAGGCTGTCTGTTGACTTACAGGCTCTGCAGGGTACAATTTTGGTGATCAGGATAGGAGCCAGATTATAACTCAAAAAAAAAAACCAAAAAAACTCATCCTTGGGCCCTCTCCATACTCTCAGACCTTTTGTTTTTTACAAGCTAAACCCATATTGTGTGTTTTCTGACTGGTTTAAACTTGGTTCCAACTGGGGTGCTACAGATAGTAACACAGAGGTCCCCTGTCCCATCCCCACCCTTTCCTGCCAGAGGACAGACAGTCTCAGTTGGTATGGCTGGGGAGAAACAAGAGTTTTCTCTACCCCAAAACCCCACCCTACCCTTTTCTTCCATGAAAACAGCCAGTCCCCACACTGGCTCTCCCTCCCTCCCACTTGGGCCCTACACAACCTTCAGCTCAGAGAATGGCTCTGGACTCCCTGCACAGTGCACCCCTGCTAAGCCAGTGCTCCTCTAGGAGACCACAGGCCAGATCAGATCCCCATCAGTCAGATTTCAAATTCCAGAGTGTGTGTAGTGTGGGGGTGGGTGGAGGGACTGGGCCAGGCCACCATGCCTGCCTAGCTCCTGACTCGGACATCCTTCAAGTGTCACTTGCTCTAAGTCCTCTTGATTGCTTGCTGGGGCCTCTACCCTCTCTGCTCCTTCCTTAAGGATCCCCAGTTTGTGTAAGACATCTCTGACATCTCCAGCCTGGCCTGGGTCTGTGCCCTCCTCTTCAGCTGACCATGAGAGGTTTTTGTTTTGCTTTGTTTTTATTTATTTACTTATTTATTTATTTTGTGGTACTGAGGTTTGAACTCCTGGCCTCACACTACCACTTGAGCCACTGCACCAGATCTGACCACAAGAGTTTTGCTAATTCACACAAGATTCTGCCCCCCAAACCAGCTCAGTGCCTCAACTGGCTGTGTTTGTACTGGAGCCAAGAAGAGCTTGTGAGGTCCAGAACTGGCTAGCCTGGGATGTTTCCTTATGGGAAGAGCCTGAGGAGCTCAAAAAGGGGAACGGTGGGAACAGGACCCTTTTGCTGTAGGATGGGAGACAATAAGAAACAGTAAAGAAATAACTGGCTGACATACAGTGAAAATGACTAGGTCCTGAAGTACTTTCTCAAGTACACATTGAAATCTTCTGGAGAGCTGCCAACACCACTCCAAAATGCTTCAGCTGGATGGGCTGTGGCACTGTCTGGGGTCATGGGAAACTCTATACCTGAGCCAAGGTGCAGCCCAGCTGAAGTCCTGCACTGGAGTTAGCCTTCCCTTTGAATTCCAGCTCTGGCACCAGCTGGCTTTGTGAGCTCAGCCATGTCACACAACCTCCCAAAGCCTCAGGGTCCTACACCCAAAGCAAGAATTCAAATGGTGCTGTTGTGATTGTGTTAAGCAAAGTAGGCAGCCAGGTGCTGATGGCTCACGCCTGTAATCCTAGCTACTCAGGAGGCAGAGATCAGGATTGTGGTTCAAGCCAGCCCAGGCAAATGGTTCACGAGGACATGTCTCAAAAATACCCATCCCAAAAAAAGGGCTAGTGGAGTGGCTCAATGTGTAGGCCCTGAGTTCAAACCCCAGTACTGAAGAAAAAAAAAAAAAAGAACAGGCCAGGCTGGGAGCATGGAGCCAGTCTAGGACACTTCCTGACCGCTTACTGCTGGTGTACATGAAGGGTACCCCAGTGACCACCCAATGGTCAGATACTTTGCAAAGAGTACAAGGCTACTGCAGAACTTCCAGACCTTGCCTGATGACCTGCTCATCATGTACCCCAAGTCTGGTAGGCAAGCAGGCCCAATCCCCCTTTCAGGCTGCTGTCCCCACCTTGGTGAGCAGGGCCAGACCCTCAGCCCTGCTCACCCCAGTTTTTCTTCTTCTCCAGGCACCACTTGGGTGAGCGAGATACTACATGACCTACAAGAGTGGAAGCCTAGAGAAGTGTCACGGGCCCCCATTTGTATGTGGTACCCTTGAGTTCAGAAACCCAGGCATTCCCTCAGATGTGTGGGGGAGCCTAAGGAAAATGGCATGGTGTGATGTAGGACTGGGCCTCAGTTTACCAGACCTTCCCTTCCCACTCTTAGGTGCTGAGTCCTTGGAAAATACACCAGCCACACGGCTCCTCAAGACACTTGCCCCAGCTCTGCTCCCCCAACTTCTGATGGGTCAAAAGATCAAGGCAAGAGGCAGGGCAGGCTCCTGTTTTGCTCCATGTGTCAACATGGTCCTGTTTTGATGGGAAGGTCTCAAGCCTCGTGTCATTTCAGTGGGGAAGGCCACCTGCCTGTCACTCTAGCCAGGTTTAGGTGGCCAGGAAAGTTACTTTTTAGTGCAGAACTGAGAGGAGGCCAGGTGCTCACAGGACACAGAGGAAGGGACTGGTGGAACCCTAGCTTCCAGTCTGGGTATAGTGGCCAAAGGAAGGAAGATTAGTAAGAAAGAGGGTTTCAAGAACCACCCAGGACTTTGGCATCTGTATTGGTTAACTTTTTTTTTGTCACTGCAACCACATGTGACATGAACAACTTAAGGAAGAAAGGTTTATTTTGGTTCAGTGTCAGAGGTTGCATCCTATAATCAGGGGCTCCCTTGTTTCTGGGCCGTGGTGAGGCGAAATACCATGGTGGAAGGGCTTGGTAGGTCATAGTTGATCACCTAATGGCAGCCAGGAGGAAGTAAGGACCAGATTTACCCTTCAAAGTCATGCCCACAGTGACCTACTTTCTCTATTGAGGCCCTACCTCCTAGTTTCCACCACCTTCCAATAACGCCACCAAAATACGATTCTATCAATGGATTAAGCCAATAATTAGGTAAGAGCCTTCATGAGCCAATCAATAGCACCACAAGCTGGGGGCCAAGCCTTCAATAAATGTGCCTTTTAGGGGAACACTCCATATCCAAACAAAATAGCATCAAAGTAGGGTTCAAATACCAGCTCAGTTACCACCATACCTTGAGAGTACAATAAATTAGCCTCCTGTTGGCTTCTTCCTCTGCCACGCCCAGTAAAGATTCCTTCACTGGGTGCTCTGAGGGTTGTGGAAAAGCAGGGCGGGGAGCCAGGACTGGTGTGGGGTGCTCTGCGTGGTGATGGCACCAGGGCTGGGGGTTGTCTGCCCCTGCAGGTCATCTGTGTTACCTGCAATGCATTATATGTGGCCGTCTCCTACTGTAACTTCTAGCAAATGGCCAAGGTGCATCCCGATCCAGGTACCTGGGACAGTTTCCTGGAGAAGTTCATAGATGGGAAAGGTGGCAGATCTGAGCCACCTTTGGTGTCATCAGGAGCCACTGCAGAGGAATGTTGCCACATTCTGATCATGATCTCAAGAATAAAATAGAGCCGGGCACGAGGGGCTCACGCCTGTAATCCTAGCTACTCAGGAGACAGAAATCAGGAGGATGGCGGTTCCAACCTAGCACGGGCAAATAGTTTGAGAGACCCTATCTCAAAAAACCCATCACAAAAAAGGGCTGTTGGAGTGGTTCAAGGTGAAGGCCTTGAGTTCAAACCCCAGTACCGCAAAAATAAATAAATAAATAGAATAGAATAGAATAGGATGTGTCTAGTGCAGTCTCCGCTGGGAACCAAGGGATAACCTGAGCTATAAGAATAAATACCACTGGGACCAGATTGGGGCTCTCTCCCAGCGCAACCTCCAGTCCCCACATGTCCTGATTGGGGAGGGGAAGGAGGTATGGAGAAGTGAGGCCCAGGACACCTGGTGAGAGGGAGGAATATTTACTTGATAAATATTCCTTTGTTGTCTCTCCCACAAGGAGAGCAGTGGCAGACGAGAGTCTGCAGCCAAGTTCACTTTTTCTTGGGCTCTTTACAAGCCACCATGTACCTCTGGGAAAATATTAGAAGCAACCCAATAGTCCAGCCTTGGTTTTCAGATGAGGAAACTGAGGCACAGCACAGGAGACAGACTTGTGGAAGAGCAGATCCTGAGTCTTGGCTTAAGTGCCTCCCCTGCACAGTGCAGCTGCCTCTTAGCCATTCATGTGGGTTCCACCTGACTCTGGCCTCTGCGAAGAGGACCTGGCAGAAACAAGACTGTCAGGCCCTGACAGAGAAAGCCTGGGAGATTTTACTGCCCAATTAGTAATTAGTAATTGACACAGGTCTGTTCAAGCAGGTGGTCTTGCCACCCAGGGCTTGGTTCATACCAGGGAAGCCTCACAAAACACCCCATCCCCAGCCCATCCTCTACAGTGTGTCACAGAAAACTATTTGGGTACAAGACTGCATGAGTCAGATGTATGAACTCCCCTGCTCACTTCTCCCCTAAAACAGGAAGGCCACCATCACAACTTGGAGAATCCTGGGGTGGATCCCATCACAGGTGTGAGATTGGCCTCTGTCTCTCCTGCATGATGAATCCTTCTGGGGTCCTTGTGGGGCAACTCAGTAATTTCCTTCTGCTTCATGAGAACAGAAACATTCAGGAAGTAATCCTGGGAATGCAGAAGGCCTCACCATGACCTCCATGGCTCCCAGCTGGACCAGCCCATGCTCTCTGTGGAGCCCAAAAGGGGGATGGGAGGGTGTGATTCAGGGATTGAGATACTGTCCTTGGAAAGGGGGAGACCAGGTGTGGTTGCTACCATCTGTAGTCCCAGTGACTAGGAAGGCTGAGGCAGGAATTCAAGAGCTGGGGACTAATCTGGAAAACATATTTCAAAACAAAAGCAACTGGGGAAAACAGTGGGTGGGAGGGCTAAAACTTCATTTCTCTCTCCAAGAGCCCTGGTCCCAACTGAGTAACGTGATGTCCCTCCCAGGTCTCGGGGATCTCTGTGCATGGCCTCAACAGCATACAATTCCATGATTTAGACTGACATTTGAACCACCCACCCTGTCTTGTGCTCAGGTCAGTCTTACTTTCCTGCTCTAATCCTATGCCTGTGTCCTGCTCACATCCACCTTCACTGAGAATCCATGGTCCTCCCAGGGGCAGCATTGGTCACACCAAGTCCAGTGCTATGGAGCTTTGGGATCCACTGGGCCTTTTCCAAAAAAGAGCCAAAAAGTGTCAGCATCCCAAGTGTGGAAGAGCCCATGATGGACACCCTTTCCCTGAGGCCTGGGAAGGAGGGGGGAATCTGTAGAGGGATTCAGTATTGTGCCTCTGATAGGTGAGGGTGGGAATGGGGAGAGGTTTGTTCAGATGCTCAGGCGCTGAAATCCTGACCACATTCTCATCTCTGCATCTTGAAGGCTGGTAGAGAGCAGGAAATTCCTGCTCTCTGGGGTGGGTGATTAACAACAGTACAGATTCCTAGGCTTCTACAGAGGGCTGCAAGGAAGGCCCTAGAAAGGACTTGAGAACCTAGGAGCCTGGATCAGGAGAGCAATTTGTCCACGTTGTAAAGACAGGGACGAGCCAAAGCCTAGACTCAATCTCAGGGCAGTCTCAGCGCCCCTCCCTCACACAACACAGACACAGAAGCGACTTGGTTTATACTTTTATGGCTGTGCAGGGGTTCCTCGTTTGGGACGCTCCCGGGTCCACTGCTCTGGGGTCAGGGTTTTCTGCTCAAAGGCATGGATGTGTGGGAGCTCTTCTGCCAGACACTCATTCACCAGCCTGGTGGGTGGGGAAGAGATGGGATTGGGAAATGACAGGCCCAGGCTTGGGGGTCGTCCCCCAAGTTAGAGTGACCAAGGAGATGGGAGGTGTCCCCCAAGTCTTGGTCTCCACAATGTGGAATACGAGAAGACGGGAAATCAAAATGCTCCCAGCCGGAACCACAAAGGTGTGGTCTTTGGGGTCATGGGCCACTCTGCAGGGCTGATAGCCTTGGGGAGTTGGCCAGGGCTGTGCTCCTGAGCCTGGGGCCAGGCTGGGCGAGGTGTCCCAGGGACTCACCGGTGTCTCTGAAGCAGTGGTTTCCCTTCGAACTTAGCCGACACCACCAGGACTCGGAAACTGGTCGCGCAACGGTTGGGAGTCGTGTCCTCCACCTCCTACCGGACAGAAGAATTGGGACGATGCGGGACCCCTCATCAGGAGCCCTTTTCCCTTCGTCCCGAGGGTCCCGGCAGCTCACTCACCACGTGCTCCGCCTCCAGGTCCCGCTTCAGCTTCTGGCGGAGGTAGTCGGCGCTGAGTTCCATAGCTGCAACCCAGCGAGGGCGGCAGCTCAGACTAGAGGTCCCCACCTGGGTCCCACCACTTCCGCCCTTACTAGGGCTGTGACATCCGTACTCGTGCAAACCGTGTTTTTCAACAGTCTAGGGTTGCCGCCCCTGCCACCAGTTATCCAATCAGAGTCGGCCTCAGGACGGACTTGCGAGGACGTATGCTGATTGGTTGGCGTTCGCAACACTCAACGCGGTCCAGGTCACGTGGCAAGTGCGGACACCTTCCTCCATCCCGGAGAGGGTGCACGAAGCCGCATTGCGGGAGGGGGGGGGGCCAGGGTGCCTCGCGATCATCCCCAAGAGGTTTTTTCCGAAACAAGCATCTGATAGTTCTTAACTACCCGGCCCTCCCCGGGGTCTGAATTCAAAGAAATCAGCCCCCAGCTTCTTCCCCCGACTCACATGCCCCCATCCCAACCCCCACCCCGCATGGGCCTCTCCGGGGGGCGTGGTGAGGCTCAGGCGACTTTTCGGTGTCTACCTGGTCTACTGTCAGTACCGTCGGCATCCGGGCCGCGTCTGCGTGGGGTTCACGGTCAACACTGCTCGTGGAGTCCAGCAGCACAAAGGTGGTCGCAAAGAAGGCAGGACCTGGCGGACCCGCGGGAGAGGACCCTGGCGTTCAGGCGTGCGTCTCTGTCTCAGAGGAAGGCTGGGAGAAGAGGCGGGCCCGGCGAATCAGAGGTCCCAGAACAGGGGCGATGCGAGGCCTGTGGGCAAGACTAGCAACAGGGCAGGTCCCATCACAGCGGCCGAGCATAGCTTGGAAGGGGAAGGGCATCGGTGGGAGGGGGGAGGTAGCTGAATAAAGGGAAAAGATGGGGGTGAACATGGTCAAAGTATATTATAAAGAAGTATGAAAATGTTAAAATGAAACCCATTATTTTGTACAATTAGTATACACTAAAAGAAAAAGAAAAAAAATATGCTAAATTAAGAAGAAAACATGACTGGGCTGGGTGACGGGCTTGTTGAATAAACCTAGGGCTGGATTAGAGCCCATTAGGGTGAGGAACAGCCAGTGTAGTACCTGCGACTGGAAGTGGGGCCTGAGGACTAGAGGTGGGAGGGGCCACACCCGTGTGAAGGGGTAGGTTTCAATGGCTAGCTTTTCCAGGCTGGTGTGAGGACTGAACTCTCTACTGGAGACTGAATGCAGCCATGGCTAATGGAATTCTTAGTGCCTGTTCAGTGCCCTTGACCTTCGCCTTTGACTAGATCTTCAGAATTGGCATCATGCCTCTTCCTTAGGCAGTCTTCCCTGGCCTCCATCTGTAATCACAGCTCTACCTTGTGCACTCCCTTTTCTTCTTCCCCTTTACACTTACTCATATACTCATATACTAGGTATTATTTGTAATCAGCCTCCACTCTTCCCATCAAACTCCAGAGAGCAGCCTTGTTCACTTCTGTGGAACAGGGTCCAGTACAGAGCAGGTGGTCAGTAAATACAGAATAAATTAACAGATGATGGGCTGGCTCCTGCTGAGTTCTCAGTAAATGGAAGTTTCTCCCCATCTTCCTTTCCTGCCCACCACCTCTGACAGGATGAAGAGGGACCCCTGTGTTGCCCCCACCCTGACTGTCCCCTAAGGGCCCACATGACTTGCCTGGCAGAGGAGTTCCTTCGGGAAGAACCAGGGCAGCTTCTGCCCCTAGAGGGCCAGTGCCCTAGATGAGTCCAGTCCCTCTCCTCCAGCCTGGAGTAGCTCTGGGGAGAAGTGCCCAGTGGTCCAGTGCGGGCCAGCTGAGTCCTCATCCAGGCACCCAGGCCTAGGCTGGAGAGTGCTGGAGATGCCTGACTCTGCCATCTCCTACGACCTGCCTTCATGCCAGCACCAGACACTTCCACAGAGGCCTTGAGGAAGCTAAGTGCCCATCACAACTGTTCCATGTCAAAACACAACTCTGGCTCCTGAAATCACTGTCCTACCCAATACTGTTTGACAATGGCTTGGGATGAAATTTTTGTGAGCATATACCTTAGTGAACTCTAGATGACCCTGCAGCCATTTCCACACAGGCCAGAAGAAGAGCACTTCACCTGGCTTCCCAGCAGAAGGCCTGTGATTGGTGCAAGCATAGACCTTCACTTGCATGAGGATCTATAACTGGTGCAAGCATGATACCTTATTTTCATTAGACTGTGCTATGTGTAGTGCAAAAACAATCCTTCTTACAAAGTACTGCTGTGAATTGTGCAGACATCCTTGCTGGACCTCCTTTCTGGGTATATATGGAAGCTTTTCAGCTGACTTTGTGAGCCAGAGACATCCTCCTGTGCTGCCACCTGGTGTTGTAACATTAGATCCAGTAAATGCCTTCCCTTGAGTGGTCTTTCTTGCCTATTTTGATCATCACTAGAGCAGACTGAGCAGGTAACATGAAGGAGAAGAGAGGAAGGTGGGAGCTGTGGCTGAATGGTGGCACTGGTAGTAGAGGCAGCAGCAGGTGCTGTACTGGTGGTGACAGCAATGACAGGGCAGTTGGTGAGTTCCAGAGAGCATCTGGGGCAAAAGCATCAGAGGCTGCAGAGACCACAAGGCACGAGAGGTGAGAAAGACGGAGACATGAAGCTGAAGAAAGAAGGCTGTGAAGAGCCAGAGAAAAGAAACTGCAGGCTCTGCTCACTGGAAGAGTTAAGCACAGACACGCCTTCAGGGTCAAGGGTCTCGGACATGCCAGGCCTGGGGGCTATGACACTAGCAGCTATCAAGGGCTGAGAATCCTGACACCTTATGCCCAAGAGCCATAACACTTGGTGAACGGTTGCTATCTGCCTCTGACTTCTGCCACTGACAACTGCTGTTGGAAGCTGAGGATGAGAACAGCTGACAAGTGTCAAGCTGGTGGTGGTTAAAGCCCAAAGCAGTAAGTCTCCAACCTGAGTGCCAAGAGCTGGAATTCTCTGGCTGGTTTGTTTTTCCCTGGTGGTACTGGGGTTTCATGTTAAAGCCTTCTTCTTTCTGGGCAAAAGCTCTACCACTTGAGCCATGCTTCCAGTTCTTATTCTCTGGCTTTGAAAACCTGGAGCAGTAAGCCCCTGGCTTTCAAGGTTTGGAACTGTAAGGTAGATCTGCCAGTCCAGCACATAGGCCTTGGGCACTAAAGGGTCTGGGATAGCCAAGCCAGAAGAGCTTGTCCTCACCTACCCACAATTCCTATCAGATAGAGCAAACAGACCCCAGTCATCGCGTTACTACTTGGTACACACCCATTATCGATCAGTAACAAACCTTCTGTGGTCTAGTGGAGATGGGGCTGAAGGGAATAGAAGGAGAAAGAAGGGCTGTTGGCCCAATCATGTGACCCGCCTCTCCCCTGCAGAAATACCCTCTGCCTCACTCTCCCCAGCTTTTCTCTGCTTACAAAATCCTTTAGAAGCTCTTCAGAATCACACCCATGACTCAAGAGTCTCTGCACCGCTGGTGCCTAGCCTGACTTCAGATCTTAACCCAAACAGTAAATCAAAGGCCATGGAGGAGGAGGGGTGCCCTCCCTCCACCAGCCCTGGGCCTCTCCAGCCTCAGCCTCTTTATGTCTGTCTGCAGAGCCCCCACCCCCACCCCGTGAGCCCAAGGAAAGAAAAGCACCTTCTGAGGGCTACTGAGGTAGCACAGGTGCACGAGTCAGGGCTTCCTCCAGGTCTTTCCTGTTTGGAGCTGCTTCGAAAAGAGCCTTCACTGCTCTGTCCCCTGCCCCACTGTGTCCTTTCACCTTGTCCGCTCCAATCACTCTGAGCAGGCAGTTCTCAGAAAGCCTGTGACTGCCAGGGTCTAAACCTTTGATGTCCTCAAGACTGGCCTGGAGCCAGCAGGTGAGTGGCCCTGGCCCCATCTCTCCTCTTACTCCCCTCCCTTGACAGGGTAGTTAGAGAAGGCTGTCTGTTGACTTACAGGCTCTGCAGGATACAGTTTAGGTGATCAGGACAGGAGCCAGATTATAGCTCAAAAAACAAAACAACTCACTCCTGGGCTCTCTGTATATTTTCAGTCCTTTTGTTTTCTACAAGCTAAACCTGCATCTTGTGTTTTCAAACTCTTTTGAGCTTGGTTCTATGGACAGTAACATAAAGGTACCCCATCTCAACCCCACCCTTTCCTTCTGGGAGAACAGCCAGTCCCACACTGGCTCCACCTCCCTCCCACTTGAGACCTAGGAAACCTTCAGCTCAGAGACTGCCTCTGCACTCCCTGCACAGTGCACCCCTGATAAGCCAGTGCTCCCTCACTGGACACCAGGAGACCAGAAGGCCAGATCTTCAGAGGTCAGATAAGTGCCAAAGTGGGGGTACCTGGGCTAGACACCCCTTGTTCTGCCTAGCTCCTAGCCCACACATCCTTCAAATGTTGCTTGCTTCTGGTGCTTTGTTGGACTCCTCTCTGATCCCTTGCCAGTACCTCTACCATCCCTGCTCTTTCTCCATGGATCCCTATTCTTAATAGGAAACTCCAGCTTGGCCTGGTTCTGTGCCCCCCTCTCTGGCTGACCATCAAAGTATTGCTTAATTGCATACGAGACTCTGCTCCCCATGCCCCCCACCCCACAACAAGCTCAGTGGCTTAGCTGGCTGTGTTTGTCCTGGAACCAAGATGGAGTTTGCTGGCCAAGTGGGATTTCAGGCCTGGCTGGCCTTGGATGTTTCTGCAGGTTAATAGAGGCACAGGGAGCTCAAGACGGGGAACAGTGGGGATGGGAGACCCTTAGGTGTAGGCTGGCAGCTGCTGCAAAAAAACAGTAAGAGAAAGCTGTACTCAGAAGGGTTTTCTCAAATGCCCACTGGAATCTTCTAGAGAATAGCCAAAACCCTGTGTGGCCTCGTCCTCCCCAAAATGCTTAAATTGGATGGGCTGTGGCATGGATTGGGGTCACAGAAAACTCTGCAGGTAAGCCTAGGTGTGGCCTGGCTGAAGTTCTCCAGCACAGTTAGCCTTGTCTTTGAATCCCAGCTCCACCACTTGCTGGCTTGTGAGCTCAGCCAAGTCACTCAGCCTGTTGAAGCCTAAGGGTCCTAAGCCCAAAGCAAGACTTCAGCAAATAGTGCTGTGATGTTAAGTGGGCCAGGGTCTGTCCTTGACACAGGAACATGGAGCTGATCCAGGAAATCTCCCGCCCACCGCTGGTGTACATGAATGGCGTCCCCCTCATCAAGTACTTTGCAGAAGCGATTGCGCCACTGCAGAACTTCCAGGCCTTGCCCGATGACGTGCTCATCAGCACGTACCCCAAGTCTGGTAGGCAAGCAGCCCCATTCCCTCCTCATTGAGCTGCTGTCCCCACCTTGGTGAGCAGGGCCAGACCTTCAGGCCCTGCTCATCCCAGTTTCCCTCCCTCTCCAGGCACCACTTGGGTGAGTGAGATACTCGACATGATTTATCATGATGATGACCTAGAGAAGTGTCAGCGGGCTCCCATCTATGTCCGGGTGCCCTTCCTCGAGTTTCAATGCCCAGGACTTCCCTCAGGTGTGTGGAGGGGTTCTGGGGTCAGGAGAAGTACAGAGAGGTAGGACTGGGACTCAACTCACATTTCTTTGCCCACTCTTAGGTCTTGAGACTGAAAGACACACCAGCCCCACGGCTTCTCAAGACACACTTGCCCCTGGCCCTGCTCCCCCAGAGCCTGCTGGATCAGAAGGTCAAGGTAAAAGGCGGGAAAGGACCCTGAGCCATGCTAGCGTGGTCTTGTTCTGCTGGGAAGGTCTCCTTGAGCCATGTGTTATTTCAACAAAGAAGCCCGTCACTCCTGCCATGTTTAGATGGCCAGGAGAGGAGTCCAGCTACTCATAGCACATGGAATGGAATTGGTGGGATCCTGGCCTGCCTTGTCCCAATCTGGGTGTGGTGGCACTGAAGGGATCAGATTAGAATAAAATATGGCTCAAGGGACCAATCAGGACTTTGGCATCAAAGCAGTGTTCAAATCCTAGCACAGCCACCCCTATACCTTGAGGTCTCAGCAAGTCAGCCTCTAGCCTGTTTCCTTCTTTGCACACCATGAAAAAATACTCTCACTGGGCACTGTGAAGGGTGACAGGAAGGCAGGGCGGGGAGCCAGGACTGGTGTGGAGTGCGCTGCGTGCTGATGGCACTGGGGCTGGGGTTGTCTGCCCCTGCAGGTCGTCTACGTTGCCCGCAATGCAAAGGATGTGACCGTCTCCTATTACAACTTCCACCAAATGGCCAAGGTGCACCCTGACCCCGGCACCTGGAACAGCTTCCTGGAGGAGTTTATGGATGGGAAAGGTGGGCTTGACTCTGCAGGAAGGAGGGGGTTGGAGTTGAGTGGCAGCAGCTAAAACTAATCCCAGCCCTGTGTGGGTGCCTTGTCCCGTTCTCCAGTGTCCTATGGATCGTGGTACCAACACGTGCAGGAGTGGTGGGAGCTGAGCCACACACACCCTATTCTCTACCTCTTTTATGAAGACATGAAGGAGGTGAGACCATCTGCACTACTTCCCTCACTACGGCAGCTGGGGAGCAGGAAGCCCACAGGAATGGGCCCAAACCCTTAGTCTGAGTCCAGGACTCCCCCTTCTGGCCATCCTGTGTTGTGCTCCAGCTGTTACCATCAGCACAGGCTCAGCAGAGGACACTGCACAGCCCTCATTGCCCAGTGCATGCATCAGTCACATGTGTCATCATCCATCAGCAATTTGCTGCCCTCTCTCAGAAGGACTCCACAGGGCTCAGGCCGGGGAGTCATTAGCTTGTGACAGGGAAAGAGGCCCAGAGTTGAGGAGCTGGGCCTGAGAATGCCTTAGTGGAAGTCACCAGCTCTTGAGACCTGAGAGAGGCCCCAGTGCATAATCCAAACCTCTATTGCTACAGAACCCCAAAAGGGAGATTCGAAAGATATTGCAGTTCGTGGGGCGCTCTGTGCCTGAGGAGACCGTGGATCTCATCGCCCAGCACACATCCTTCAAGGAGATGAAGAAGAACCCATTGGCTAACTACAGCACTGTGCTCTCTGACTTCATGGACCATACGATTTCTCCTTTCATGAGGAAAGGTAGGTATTTGGGGAGAGTAGGATGGTAGCAGCTGCCAAGCCCCACCCTGAGCCACTTTTGGGGCCTCCTCTGTGGCTGGGACGCCAACCTCCCTGTGTCCCTCTCCAGGCATCGCAGGGGACTGGAAATCCACCTTCACTGTGGCCCAGAACGAGCGCTTTGACACCCACTATGCTGACAAGATGGCAGGCTGTGACCTCCCCTTCCGCTGGCAGATCTGAGGGTGTCAGCAGGAGCCACTGCAGAGGAGTGTTGACACATCCTGACCATGACCTCAAGAATAAACTAGGACTGGAAGTGTTGCTCAAGTGGTAGTGTGCTTGCTTTGCAAGCACAAAGCCCTGAGCTCAAACCCTAGTCCCACAAAAATAAATAAATAAATAAAATACAATAGGATGTGTCCAATGCAGTCTCTGTTGGGAGCCAAGGGATGATCTGAGCTATAAGAATATACCACTGGGGCCAGATGGGGCTCTCTCCAGTACAGCCTCCAGTCCCCACACATCCTGATTGGGGAGGGGAAAGAGGTATGGAGAAGTGAGGCCCAGGACACCTGGTGAGAGGGAGGAATATTTATTTGATCACAGACAATCCTTTGTTGCCTCTCCCACAGGACAGCAGTGGCAGACTGGAGTCTGCAGCCAGCTTCACTTTTTCTTGGGCTCTTTACAAGCCACCACGTACCTCTGGGCCACATTGAGGGGAGGGGAGTAGCCATCTGCGTAGGAAGTGTCTTCAAACAGGACTGAGTAGTCGTCCTGGGGCTGGCAGGACGCATACAGGAGGGGCTGGTCAGAGGCTTCCAGGCCAGAGAAGCCTCCTCCCTGCCCTCCTGCCCACAGCTCCACTCTGTGAATCAAGGAGTCTAGATGCTCTCCCTTCCCACCCCCATGTGCAGAACTACAGTGGGGCTGGTGCCCTGGGAAGCCTGTGTCAAGGACAACCCAGGCCTGCAAGAGGGCTCCTGAGGACGAGAACGCCCTTTGAGGGTGGTGTCATGAAGGAACTTGCTGCAGAGGCTGCTTACCCGCTGGGGGGGGGTGTGAATCAGGGCCCGGTAGAAGCAGGTGGTCTGGGGATACAGCGCCAGCACCAGCTGTTCCTTCTGGAACAAGGCCTCTGGGTCTGTCTCAGGGTTGGCCTTCCACTGGGGCAGCGGGATGATGCGCCGGCGGCTCAGAGTGTGTCTCCTGGCGGAGATGATGCAGTTCATGGCCGAGGGAGGCTCGTCCCTGCACTTTCCTGCCCAACCCCCACCCGGCCTGGACACTCACTCTTTGCCTTCTTCATCAATGTCATCCACTTCATACCTGTGGGTGACAAAAGGAAGTCACAGATGCAGCAAGGTGTACATTCATGGCAGGGAGCATGGGGAGGAAAGGATAGCAGGCAAAATGGCTGAAAGAGCCAGTGTTCCCCATGCCACCCTGCTGCCTGGCACCCTTAGGGGAAGCTTTTCTCTCAGCTACAGATGGAAAAGTGGAAGCCAGTGTGGTGAGGATGCACAGCTGGGGGCCACTCACTTGTTGGTGGCATGGCTGTAACTGACCACCTCAGCCAGGATCCACTGTTCATCACCATCCACGGCCTTCACCCGAGCAGCCACCTTGTCTCCAGGTTTGGCTACATAGTCCCCTGAAGCTGGAATGGCCCCACAGAGGGGCGGGGGCCTGTGAGAGGAAGTAGTGTCAGTCTGGCCCATGGACAACAACCCTCCCTGGCCAGCTCCTGCCCTCACTTGTCACCGGGCTTCCCAATCCATAGAGGCAAGGTCATGGCTGACTGCTGCAGCAGTGTCATCAGCACCCCTCTGCGCATGGTCTTCCGAGGTGGCTCTGAATCATTGTACAGCCCTGCAATCTTGGCCGCTGTGAGAAATAAGCGAGAGGCTCCTGTGTGGCACCCGCCCTGGCCCCACCCCCCCTTCGTAGCACCAGGGTTCAGAGGCATGCAGTCTCTTCCAGCAGACAGCCAAGGTTGGAGAGAAACAAGCTAAACTTCCTGGGTGATGGGTATGACATCAGGACAGGGATCACCCTTGCTGGGAAGAACTAGAAAGGTACAAAGGGGAGTTTTCAAGGTGCTGGTCACAGTCCATTTCCTGAGTTCAGTGTTGCATATTGAAGTGTACTGGGTCAGTGTAAATCTCTTGGAGCCAGGGCACTTCTGTCTATTTTTCTAATGATGTTACAATTCAACCAGAAGTTGAGAAACAAAACTATCCAATATGAAGCCTTGACCTCTGCATGCATGGCTAAAAACACACCCCTCACGACCATCAGACCAAAGTAGCAGCAGCTATGATGCTCCCTCAGGGGCAAGCGCCCCCTTGTGGCAAGAGCTAGGCAGGAACGCCAAGGTAACAGCATCTGGAGGGCTCCGGAAGTAAGCTAGGTGTCCACCCAAACCCACCAGCAAGGTGGGCGGTGGGAGTCAGAAGACTGGCTTGCAGCAGAGGGTGAGGGGTGGGGCAGAATCACCTCTGTCTACAGGGAGAAGTTGGCTCCCTGGCCTGCCTGCCTGCGGGAGGCCTGACTGCTGCATTTCAGGCCCCTTGCCTGGGTGGTCAGGAAACACCCATGTGCCTCCTCTTCCACTCACCAATCCGCCTCTCTTCCAGCAGAGACTTGATCTCAGCAATCTTGTCCAGGGCTTTACGGAGGATGCTGAGGGTAGGGAAGAGAGAAGAGGCTGAGCACTGGGCCAAGGCTTCTTTTTCTGCTTATGGCAGACTGGGTTCTGCAGACCAACACTATGCTGCAAACGAGTGGCCCTAAGTACAGCCAGTGCTACAGAAGGAAGTCTCAGTCAGTGACAGGCCACATAGGTGACAGTGACCCCATACAATTACAGCGAAGCTGGAAATCCCTTTGTCCAGAGGCACCACTGCCATTTTCATGTCCTAGTGTAACACATCACATGCTTCTGGCAATGCTAGTGCAAGAAACCTGCTGTGTTAGCAGTCACCTAAAAGTGGAGCACGTACAACAATGTACAGCGCATCACACTTGCTACTGGCATAGGTATTTTCTATAGTACACTTTTGATTTTTTTTTTTGTAGTACTGGGGCTGGAACTCAGGGCCTCATGCTTGCTAGCACATGAGCCACTTCGCCAGCTTTTTTTTAAATTGTCTTTTTGCATATACATTTGATCATTAGTGTGTACTCCTATTTATTTTTTTTTAAAGTTCCTATAGAGCTGGGCATGGTGGTTCATGCCTATAATCCCAGCACTGAGGCTAAAGCAGGCAGATTGTGAGTTTGAGGTCAGCCTGGGTTATACAGTGAAGCCTTGCCTCAAAAAAGACAAAAAACATACTATAAAATAATATGCTGTATGACACCAGCAGCCAACTCATACATCTCACGTTCACTGAGTCTCTTGATCGCATCCAGAGGCCTCCTATGGCATCTAGGCTGTTCAAGCTAGTCAAGAGCTTTACCACTGAGCTGCGAGTGAGATGAAAAGTCCCACTTTTTCATCTTCAAAGCATAAAAGGCAAGGTAGCAGGACATGGCAGGGTGGCACCCTTTGAGCAAACAGGAGCATGGAGAGCATGCTGTTTTGCCCCATCCTGCGGAAATGTGCCACAGCTCTGAGCCTCTTTTGAGATGAAGGGTATAGAAGTGAAAAGTCAGGGTCCGCCTAGGTGGGACAGAGAAGAGGAGCGCCCCAGGGACCAGGGGAGACTGGCCTGGCTCAGTAGCCTGGTGCACAGAGACAGCAATGCCAGACCCCTGTGTGGACCTGCTTCCCAGGAGGGGTTCCAGAAGGCAGATAGCCAGGCAACTGAGCATCAGCTCTCTTTGCAAGCTTCTGGATGTAGGCCTTTTTATTCTCCTCTGTCCTGCAGAGTTTCTGCAGAGCATGTTCTAATGGCAATCAGCAGCAGACTCAACCTTGGTTTATTTTATTGCCCACTCCCACAGCAAACACCGGGCCACTCCTCCAACAAAGCTTAATTCAAGGCCTTCATCCACCAGGAAGGAGACATGTATGAACACAGCACAGCACGGCAGTTCGCTGCAGAATACGACCTGCGGGTGTGCAGAGCACGTGACTCATGTGGAGCTCATGAAGGCCAGGACATGGGGAAGGGAGTGGCCACACCAGAGCAGGGAGAGTGAAGAACGGCCTTGAAGACTATGTGTGGGGCTCAATATGGCTGGGACAGGAACAGTTCAGCCAGAGCCACTGCAGGCTTGGGAACACTGAAACACAGGCCATCAGGCAGCCCAGAAAGCAGACAAGGAGGCCAGAAGGAACTCTAAAGAGCTGATTATGGCTTCTGGGCCTATCTGGAGGACATAGTTTTCATGTCACATGTCCAAAGTTGCACTCTGTGTAACATCAAAGGAATGGTTCTCACCTCTAGCTGGACACTAGAATCTCTTGGGGGACCTTTATAAAAAGAAACCAAATCCCAATTCTTTCAGCAGAGTGATAAACAGATGCTCAAACTAATGGATTTGAGGTGAGACGAGATGTTACAGTCACCAAGTCTCTTAACAAGACCCTTATGATAACACAATTAAAAACACCAATAACCCACATGGGGAAATCTGAAGATACCACCTACCAGTGGGACAAACAATCCCGAGCCTGGAGTGGAACACAAGGACAGCTCCACGAATGTCTGCTACTACATGAAGTGTAAAACCGGAAACCAGCAGTGAGGAAATGTCAGGCACACGTGGAGGGGCATGCCACAAAACTACTGACCTCTAAGCTTTAAGAGGTCAAATCCCAAAAGGCCAAACGGGAACTCTCCATGCAGTGGGCACTACATGCGATGGCAGAATGCATTAGAACATGACCTGGTCCTTTGCTAGGAAGCACACTGGCAGACAAGATGAAATGTGAGTAAGGTCTCTAGTTCACACTTCTGCTGACGGAGTGGCTCAAGTGGTAGAATGCCTGCCTAGAAAGCATGAGGCCCTGAGTTCAAACCCCAGTACCTCCAAAAAAAAAAAAATTGTTCTTTCTGTCTAGTTCACACTTCTGTTTTGAGTTGATGTCTGTTTTTAGGAAACACTGGTGTGGTCATGCTACCCAGGTCAGCACAGTGACCTTCAGTGACAAGTTCTCCCCACCTAGAGGCTAGATGGTGAGTGCTCTGCAATGGCAGAGCTGCAGCTTCATCTCTCCTGCCCACCTTTTTTCAGCCTGGTATTGGCTGAGTCAGTGTTGATACAGTAAATGTAAGAATGGTTTCTTGGATTTTTTTTTTTTTTTTTGAGACAGGGTCTTGCCTCATAGCCAGGCTGGTCTTGAATTTATCATCTTCTCACCTCAACTTCCTCAACTGGGATTATAGGCATGTC